TTATGAATGCTTGCACAGGGAAGTATTTGTTACTTTTGAAGGCATAAATAGAAAGTTTGGTACTGTAATTGGGATAACTCATGTCTAATCCTCCTCTATTTGATCATTTCTTTTGCGGTTCCATTTACTTGAATAGCCTTTGAAGTTGCGACCCCATCTTCTCTGAAACATACATGCTATTTCATCATGTGATGTAATGATAAATAGAGTTCTGACCTCTGTTTTAACTCCCTAGAATTAAACCTGGATTCCAGGTCATTGACATTGTTCTTATGAAAGTGATATATCTATGTCTTATATCAAACGAAAATTCAGATTGGATAATGTAATTTATGAATATCTAATTAAAATATACTTTTTTTTGGAAAGATACAGTATTTGTGGATTGTGTTGTGGAAAGTAATTTCACCACATCACAAGTATAATTCTCATATCCAAAATCTCTCTTTTCAATAGGCAATAGGCATGCCTGCCTTCCTTTTTTTTTTTTTTTTTTTTCTGACAGTTCAGCTCCAAGGGATATATATTAATGAACTAATCTGTTTCGAAGACCAGATCTGGAATTGTACAAATGATATGGTATGTTCTGAACTGCCTACACATTTGTCAATAAGATTTATTTTTGGTTCTGGAACATGATTCAGAAAAGCAGATTTCTACTCTCTCTGTGGAATAGAATCCTTCCCAAAATCTGGATAGCTCTGACTCTGTTAGTCTTTCATAAGGCACTGAAAGCCTGCTCATTCCCCTAGGCATTTGGGCCAGAGGTTTAGGTGAGCTTTCTTTGTTAAAGTTGTTGTTGTTGTTTAATAAATTGGGATTACTGATTTAATCTCAAGTGTTGTGGTTTGCATAGTGGGATTGTTACTGTATGTGAGATAGATGGCCATTAAAATTATATCAAATTATCAAGGTAATGCATGGGATAAAATGAAATGGCTTATTTCAAATTATTTTGATTTTTCTCAGAATATGACAAAAATTGTAGACTGACCACACAATTATGGGTGAATACACCGTGTCTAACTGGACAGAAATCAGAGTAATAGATTTCTATTTATGAACTTCTTAATCTTTTGTTTGTTTCTTTGTTTAAGAGACCATCATTTTGTGTATATTTCT